TGGCATAGCTAGGTTTCTCTATTCCTGCTGAGTCACTGTAGTTGTCCAAAAGAATTTGTTTTATTAACTCATTTGAAGCTACGGAATAGGATAGTAAAGTTGGCAGGGCAGTCTGGGAGGATTTACATACTCCCAGCCCCCCAAGTCTGACTGGAAGTAAGGCTTGCAACCCAATCCATCTTCGAGGGGAAAGATTCAATACACTCTCTAGCATGGTCTTAAGGAGAGAATCATATTCCTTGACTTTTGGACTGCTGAAGGCTGGGGAGCATCTCAGGAAGTAGGTAAGTTTTGGGATTGACAGGCACCTGGTGAGCAAAATAAATGGTATAAAATACTGACACAATGGAAATATACTGCATATGTGTTTATATTTCCACCTGGTGAGCAGGTAGAAGGCATCATGTGTATCAGTGTCTTTCATCCTACCTTCCATCGTCCTGAGGTCTGAGATTTTTTTTCTAGGGTCAGATCGATGGCACCAAGGAGAGGGCTGTTGCCTGGATCAGTGGCTCATGCTCCTGGCAAAACAGCACTAATATATTTGTATCATCTATCGATTGGTAGAAACTATTTCACATTTGGTGGGGTTTAAAGATAGGCCCAGGCTTTCTCCCATTTCTTTAAACTTTTCTGATGTTCTCTGGGAGAGATTCTGTAGTGCCAGCTAGGGTACCATCATCCAAGAACCAGATATTGAGCTCACTGGAGAGCATTTCTGTGACTTTCTTGATGACCAGACAGAATAGAAAGGGTGCAAGAGGGTCCCCCTGTTGCACACCCTCATATGATTCAAGTTCTTGGTCCCCAAACAATAGTTTAGAACCCACACTATAACACGATTCAATGAAGGGATAGAGGGACGGGAAGTATCTAGAAACTGCTTGAGAGCAGCATCCCTTCTGACTAGGCTGAAAGCATTGGCAAAGTATAATTTGATCAAGGCTTCTTCATCAGACATGTTGTTGATGTATACTCGTGCTGTGTGGGCAGCTGCTTCACAACCTTCTTGAACACAAAGACCGAGTTGAGTTAGCTTCAGCATTGAGGCAGCCTCTTCACTCACCATTCTTACAACAGCCTAGGCGGCTAGGCACCGAAGGGTGTTGCCCACTGAAATGGGCCTGATTCCTCCATCCTTTTTCCGGAGGGCACACACAGTGAGGCACCAAAGAAAAGAGGTCTAATGGCCTCTGGGACACTGCCAGCCAGGCACGCATTGGAAAATTTGGTGAGTTCAGACAGCAACCTCTCTGAACCATCACCAAGTCCTGGACTGAGCATTTGTTTTAAGTGTTGTGGTCTTAAACCGGTGAAACCTCCTGCTGAGCCCTGTGGAAATGACATAGCAGCTATATACACATCAGCATCCTTTAATGTTAAATGTTTTTCACCTGCTGCAATGTTAGGGAGGTCAATGTTGGTACTGGGAGCCCTAGGTGGATGTTTCTCCTTCAGGGCTTGTGCTGTAATGACGTCTTTAGGAGCAATGGTATCCTCACTGGTTATAAGCCTCAGTGCTCCAATAGTATTACCCTCTTCTATTTTTTTTGCTAATTTGGGATTTGATTTTTGAGGCATCAGGTGTCCTGTTGTTGTCATTTGTCCGACGGGTGTTTAGCTCCCTAGGGGGAGATGGACGAGGTTGTTATCTCTCGGAGTTTATTTATTGCCTGATAACATATGTTTCTAGTGACTTGTCCCTCCTTGGTGGAACAGCCAAACAGGCATTGCCAAATAGCAGTAGGTTGTGCCAGGATCTGTTGTTTGCAGGAGCATCGTTGACTTTCCACTCCATTCCATGGGTGGAGTGGAACGTGGGTTGGGTAGGTGTGTTTGTGGGTCTTGGTTTGGGTTTAAGGGAGATCTGCCTAATGTTGGCCGCCTGGCCTGCTGCAGTAATTCTTTTTTCTTGTGCTCTTATGAGCAAGAGGCGTTGGTGCTGAGCAGGCTTTTCGCTTCAGCTCCTCGGTGCCCTGGTGATGGACCAGGTGCTTCAGCTCTCTTGGTGTCCTGGTGATGGACCAGGTGCTTCAGCTCCTCTGTGCCCTGGTGATGGAACCCGGTGCTTCAGCTCCCTCAGTGCCCTGGTGATGGACCAGGTGCTTCAGCTCCCTCGGTGCCCTGGTGATGGACCAGGTGCTTCAGCTCCCTCGGTGCCCTGGTGATGGACCAGGTGCTTCAGCTCCCTCGGTGCCCTGGTGATGGACCAGGTGCTTCAGCTCCCTCAGTGCCCTGGTGATGGACCAAGTGCTTCAGCTCTCTCGGTGCCCTGGTGATGGACCAGGTGCTTCAACTCCCTCGGTGCCCTGGTGATGGACCAGGTGCTTCAAACCCCTCAGTGCCCTGGTGATGGACCAGGTGCTTCAACTCCCTCAGTGCCCTGGTGATGGACCAGGTGCTTCAGTAGCCTGGTGATGGACCAGGTGCTTTAGCTCCCTCAGTGCCCTGGTGATGGACCAGGTGCTTCAACTCCATCGGTGCCTGGTGGTGGACGGTGCTTGTAGCCTGTGTGTGGACCGGGTACTCAGTCCCTCATGTACCCTTTTTAATAGGTGCCTGGTTTAGAGCTTATTCCATGGAGGGAGTAGCAGGTGGTTTTGTTTGTGGGTCTGGGTTTTAGGGGAACCTGACTAGTGTGGGCCGGTTGGCTTGCTGCAGTGTTCCTTCTTTATTTATTCTATGAGTGAGAGGGGATGGATTTGAGCGGGACTTGCACAGTGATGGGGGGCGAAGGGGTTGTCGGGGCTTGTTGTTTGGGTGGCTCTGGGGATGGGTTAGGCAAATATTTTTGTTGGTGGGTTGGTTCTGATATGGACTTGCCAAGTATGGGCTAGTAGGCCTGTTGCAGTGTTCCTCATTTCTTATGTTCTTATGTTCCTAGGTCAGCGAATTTGCTAGCAGCTTGAGAACGAGCTACCTTGGGGATGTGTGTCAGCGTCCTGGTGGATGTTAATTTGATTGCAGATTTTAGGTCCTCTGTACAGGTGAAGTCAGGGTAGCTGTCAGCTCTATCTGCTGGGAGGGGCTGTCAGGTGTTCCCATTTGGAGCCCTCCTGGAGCCTAGACATCCATTGTGTGCACAGATGTTGCCAGTTGAGGGACTGAGTGCACATTCCGTGTGGCACACCTGCCAGATGCCTCGCGGACGGATTCCACGGCATTGGCTCTGTCGTGGAGATTCCTGGGAACCCAGCACTTCTTGAGACATTGCTGACATTGTGGGGGTATAGGGCGCCAGCTGTGGGGTAACGGGTGACGGACAGCATGGATGCATGGAGGGATGACTGTGGGGAAGAAGCGAGCGATAGTGCGAGTTAATTAATAGTGGGGCACTAAATTCAAATTCAAATTCAAATTCAAAGTTTATTCTCTATAAAGATTACAATGTTGAATTTACAGAATTTGGTTGTTGTGTGGTTTACATGTAGTTAAATAATGATTACAGAGTGTACCACTAGAACGCCTAGCATGGCTAGGCATTTCGGGCAGACTTAGTTTAATTCTTTATTTTAAAATATTACAAATTATGAGGTAAGTTGGTATTATGGCTAAGTGACTAAATACTAGTTTGTGAGTTTAGCAATGTGAATGCTTTTGTTTTGGCACAGTACATAGTTTCAGTATTGGAGTATCATAGGATTCATTATTTTAAGATTGAGATTAATATTTCTGTTTATGGTCAAATGGGTGAGTGAGTGTAAGTGTGAACCACCAGGTGGTATTCGTGTAGTTAGTTGATGGGGTGTATCAGGGAGATAAGATGTTTTCTAATGGTAGTTTTGAAGGTGATGAATGTTTCTGCAGTTCTAGAGTTCTCAGGTAGGGTGTTCCAGATTTTAGGGCATTTGACATACATTGAATTTTTGTAAAGGTTTAGTCGGACACGGGGAATGTCGTAGAGATGTTTGTGTCTGGTGTTATGCCTGTGGGTTCTGTCACAACTATCAAGAAAGCGTTTTAGGTCAACACGGCAACACCCTTGGTCAGGAAGTCAGTAGGCCTAGACCGGGATGTGGCGAGGGGACCAGGGATGGGGGGCGAGGGGAGTGGCCCTAAATGTTCACAAAAGATGCACATCACTGACTACCTTTTGCTAATTGTTATACACTTATTATTCCATTTAGAATAACCCTTACCATTTGGCACACTAATCACCGTGTTCTCACTGTTAACCGAGGTGTTCTGTTCAGTATCCAGTGACGGAGTCCTGAGCGACCACTCTCCCCCCAACCCAGGCCGAACACAGAGGGTAAACAAACCTCCTCCACACCTCCGCTGACAGGATACCCTCTACACCAACACTACTCTCCAACTCCCCACATGCACACTGCACTTTCACTGATACAGAAGCAACGGCTTGATGCAGAGAATTGTCACGATTCTGCAATCTCCGGTGGATACTCACGATGATGTCTGCCGAAACTGACCCTTGTAAACCATGTTGGTTCTTGGTTTACACACAAAATGTACGGAGCACCACAAACTGGCGACCTCCCTCCACGCCGGCAGGCTTGTGTGTATGTATGTATGTTAATATATATAATTTATATATATATATATATATATATATATTATATTATATATATATATATATATATATATATATATATATATATATATATATATATATATATATATATATATATATATATATTATTGTACCCACGAATGAGTGGTATTGATCAATAACAACACTGCGCTAGCCAAGGATTCGAACCCATGTTGTACTGGCCTGCCTCATGGTAAGCGAGAACCACATGATGCTTTAAACCACAGGACCACCCAACCCTCCAAGAATGGCGTTGAGCTGTTGAGCCGCCATCCGAGGGCATGGGTTCGAGTCCTTGGCTAGTGCAGTGTTGTTATTGATCACAATAACAACACAATAATATATATATATATATATATATATATATATATATATATATATATATATATATATATATATATATATATATATATATATATATATATTTATACAATGCTTTTTTTTGCAGTGTGTTTCGAGTATGATGATGAGAGAAGTGAAACTCAGAAGGAAGACAGCCTCAAAGTATATCACAATCAGCCTCACTTCCTACATGACCTCACTACTAATGTATCCATCCAGTTGGGTTCCACAGCTCACCTACACTGCCGTATTAGAGGTCTCAGGGACCAGTCTGTAAGTGTTATCACTTTGTCGTACATTACTTCTTTTGTAAAAAATATTTCTGAACTTTTGATGCCACAAATTCAGTCTAATATAGTATTAGAGAAACTGTCTTTGTATTATAAGTAGCGTAAGATGTATATTGTAATTTGCATAGACAGAAGAACGTACTCTACTAAGTATGGACAACACATGTATTCTTGAAATTTATATATTTTTTTCCAATACTTCATTGAAGATATTACCTGAAAATTATCATTATCAATGTTGTGAATCATTGATTACAATGAGATCAACAACACGGATCTGAACCTTTCCCTAGAAAAAATTAACGCTGTGGCACTTGAGGTCTGCTCAAGTCACATTACATTAAGAAAGAGAAGAGAAGATTTAAACTAGAAAGAGAGAGACGCTCCCTATACAGGCGAAGGTGAAAAATTACAGAGCTCCTGAGAGGGGCCAGTATATCTGAAATACGAAGGGAGGCTCTGGTCAGAGAAATTATGATAATTGAACTTAAGCTTAAGGAATCTTATAGGAGACGAGAATCTCAGGAAGAACTTAATTAAAGCCATAAAGGAAATTGAAAGAAACCCAAAATTCTTCTTCTCTTATGCCAAATTTAAGGGAAAAACAACATCCAGCACTGGATCCCTGCTTAGACGAGATGGGACCTACACAGATGACAGCAAAGACATGAGGCAGATACTAAACTCCCAGTACGATTCAGTGTTCAGCGAGCCGTTAACTAGACTGAGAGTCGACAATCTAAATGTTTTTTTTTATAACCGAGACCCAAAATTTGGTCATTTCAAAATTCTCTGATATCCTAACACCACAAGACTTCGAAATGTCAATTAATGACATGCCCATGCACTCTACCTCAGGCCTGAACTCATGGAACTCCATGTTCGTCAAGAACTGCAAGAAGCTCCTGTCACGTGCCTTCAGCATTATATGGAGAGGGACCATGAACACACGTGTCATCCCACACTTCACAGAGGTGGTAGTAAAGCACTTGCAACGAACTACAGCCCGATAATGGTAACATCCCACATAATTTTTTTTTTTTGAAAAGGTTATAAGAAGTAAGATCACCAACCACCTAGATACCCATCACTTACACAATCCAGAGCAACATGGGTTTAGAGCAAGTCGATCGTGCCTGTCTCAGCTACTGGACCACTATGACAAGGTCCTACATGCATATGTAGTATACACAGACTTTGCAAAAGCCTTTGACAAATGCGACCACAGTGTAATAGCGCACAAAATGCGCAATAAAAGACTAACAGGAGAAGTTAGTAGATGGATCTATAACTTCCTAACAAATAGAACACAAAGAGTAACTGTAAACAGAGTAAAGTCTGAGGCTACAGTGAAAAGTTCTGTTCCACAAGGCACAGCACTTGCTCCCATCCTGTTTCTCATCCTTATAACTGACATAGACAGAGATGTAATCCATTACTCCGTGTTTTCTTTTGTGGATGACATCCAAATTGCCATGACAGTGTCCTCCATCGAATACACCACAAGATTCCAAACGGACATCAACCAAATCTTTAAATGGGCCGCAGAAAACAATGTGATATTCAATGAAGAGAAATTTCAACTACTCAGATATCGAAAACTTGAAGAAATTAAAACTGTATCATGGTATACAACAAATTCTAACCACACAATAGAGAGAAAAGCTAATGTGAAGGACCTGGGAGTGAAAATGTCAGAGGAACTCACCTTCAAAGACCACAATAATGTGTCTACCATATCTGCTAGAAAAATGATAAGATGGGTAATGAGAGCCTTCAGAACTAGGGATGCCAAGCCCATGATAATTCTCTTCATATCCTTTGTTCTCTCCAGGCTGAAATACTACTGTACACTAACTGCCCCCTTCAAGGCAGGAGAAATTGCTGACCTGGAGAGTGTATAGAGAACACACGGCACACATAAGTACGATAAAGCACCTAAATTACTGGGAACTGTTGAAGTCCCTTGATTTGTATTCTCTGGAACATAGACGAGAAAGATACATGATAATATACACTTAGAAAATCCTAGAGGGATTAGTACCAATCTTGCAGACGAAAAATCACCCCCTACGAAAGCAAAATACTCGGCAGGAGACAAAATATTCTCGCAATGAAAAGCAGGGACGCCACGAGTACACTAAGAGACAACACAGTGAGTGTCATGGGCCCAAGTCTGTTTAACTGCCTCTCAGCACACATAAAGGGGATTACCAATAGACCCCTGGCTCTCTTCAAGAATGCGCTGGCTGGACAAGCACTTAAAGTCAGTACCTGATCAGCCGGGCTGTGGTTCTTACGTGAGTTTACGTGCGGCCAGCAGTAACAGCCTGGTTGATCGGACCTTGATCCACCACGAGGCCTGGTCTCAGACCGGGCCGAGGGGGGCTTTGACTCCCGAAACCCTCTCCAGGTATGCTCCAGGTGGGTATAGAAGAGCTATAATGTAAATCTTAGAGTAGAATACGGTAGATTGCATAACCAAATATTACATTCGACTGGACAAATGCAATTATAAACCATTTTCGGAGAATTCTTGAATCAGGCAAAAATTATATTGTTTGCTAATCAGATGAAAGATCCTGGAAATTTATGTTCCTAACTGGGCTCTGGTGGCCTGGTGGTTAACGCTCTCGCTTCACACGGCGAGGGCCTGGGTTCGATTCCCAGCCAGAGTAGAAACATTGGACGTGTTTCTTTCAACCTGTTGTCTATGTTCCCCATCAGTAAAATGGGTACCTGGGTGTTAGTCGACTGGTGTGGGTCGCATCCTGGGACACTGACCTAAGGAGGCCTGGTCACGGACCGGGCCGCGGGGGCGTTGACCCCCGGAACTCTCTCCAGGTAAACTGAGCGGAATACACAAACAAACCGCACATATAGAAGACTGAAACTTATGCCGACATTGTGATCCCACCAGGATCATTAACTAGTCATGCAGAAGCACCAAGGGAAGGAAGCCAGAATATATTTATCTATCTGCTTTTAATATTTCTGTGTTAATCCCCTCTATTCCAGCTGCTTCATACGTTTTATTGTACCCACTTCCTCCACACTCCCAGTGTAAGGAATCACTATCTCCCTTTCTTCATCTACATTTAACAACGCCTCAGTATATTCTTTCCATCTTCCCATTGACTCTACCTTCCCATCTAACATCTTTCCTCTTTTGCTTTTTTATCTGTTAAATACGTTTGTTCCCTATGCTTGCTTATTGATCATCCCTCAAAAACCTTTTCTTATTCTCAGCAAAATTTGTTGATTCTCACCCAGTCTCTCGTTTGCCTTCTTTCTACACTCCCTCATCATTCTTTTAACCTCTCTTTTTTTCTCTCTCTTCATTTACTTCACCCTCCGTACTTACACTTAAACCTCTTATATGCTAACTCTTTCTGCGTTATCACCCTTTTTACCTTCTTATTTCACCACTCACCAGGGCCCACCCTCCCTTTCCCACAATCTTCTACTGTTCACTCTAGCACTAAATTTACCTCTATCTCTTTGACCTCTCTTATACCCTCTCTAGCTAACCTTTCACCCAATAGATGCTCATAGCTTATTTAAATTATCTCCTTTAATTTATTCACTGTCAGTTCCCTCTTACCCAGTGATGACATTATCCTTGTACCAGATCTACGTCTGACTTATAATGTAGCAATCATTAAATAATTCTCTGGTATATGTGTCGTCCCTCTAAATACATATATAATTGTCGACATGGAAGTTAAGACTAATTACGGCCGATGGAGAAATGAGTAACTACTCGAAGCATTAAACAGTGCATGGAATTGAATGAAAATAAGTTCCCACGTGATAAATATTGTGATAATGGCAAATGATTAGTAGATGAATTGTTAATTTGTGTATACAGCGTTAGTAAGTTATGTTATGATATTATTTATGCAAGGGAAATTATGTTTTACGAACATGTTCCAGTACGAGTCATCCTAGGAAATCATTATCTCAGTTGAAGCTATGTTTTGGAGAAGGGTACAGAGTGTAGTTGTGTTTGCTGCCTGTCTTGTTGTGTAGAAGCTCAATTCTCGCTATCCTCAAGGTGTGAGCGTACTTGTGCCTAATAAATAATTTTGCAATCTGTGCTGTCAAGTAGATGCAAGATTCGCCCAAGTGCTGTCAAGCAGATGCTCACTTTATCTGGGCCCACACCCTTTTGTTGTTCCAGTGATTTAAGAGGAAGATACACTTCGTCCTGCTTTATTGCCATCACTGGCAACTTTGACACAGTTTCTGCAGCTTCCCAAGGAGGTTCTGTGCTGTATCAGGAACTTGTATCTTTGAAAAGTGTTGGGCAAAGAGATCAGCTTTCTTCTCACTGCTAGCAGAGGTAGTCCCATCTCTCTCTTTCTCTCTCTTGAACCTCACATGTGTCTGACTCACATAATTATTCTCATATACCATTTATTCATCCCATTTGAGTTGCAAGATATGATCTAAAACAAGATGCTGAGCCATCACCTTTCACCTGGATAAAATGATCTTGGTATTCTCACCTTATAATATTGCGCCTTCATTAGAAGCTGAGCATCGTACATTAGTGTATCCTGGTCTCGCAAATAAGCACCAGGAGAGATGAAAGAAAGAGGGGTAAATTACCCAAAGCCTAACCACTCTTAAAGACAGTCATTGGCTTTCTTAAAAAATGATGAAACATTAATTCAAAAGAAGAATGCTTAAACGATTCCTGCTCTGTTTCTTGAATGATAAACAGCAACAAAGGGATGCCTTCATCCCAGTCTTTCTCGAATTCCAAGCAGTTGTTTATAATCTGGTGTACCCTCGCTATGGCTCCCTGTGATTGAGGATAGTATGCCATAGAAAATGTAATTCCTAAATGTGACACTACCTTTTCGAATATGATAGAAGTATAATTGGTACATTAGTCAGACTGTATTTTCCTTGATTTTCCTACCAGAGAATTTTTTTTATTACCTCTTTAAAAATATTTCTGGCAGAACGCTTTCT